GTAGTGCTAGAGGCCAGAGCAATGCCATCTAGAGAAACTATGTCATCAGATAAAGAGTCTCTGAGTTGTTTGGGGCCAAGAACAATAACTTCAGTTTTGTCTGAATTTAACATCAGGAAATTGGTGCTCATCCAAGTTTTTATGTCTTTAAGGCATTTATGGAGTTTAGTTAATTGATTACTTTCTTCTGGCTTCATAGATAAATACAACTGAGTATCATCCGCATAACAATGGAAATTTATAGAGTGTTAGTGTTAGAGTTTCCCTCGGGCCTCATATTTCTGTCCGAATCAACCTGAACTCAACACACTGTCTGTTTTTCATGTCTGAACTCGACCTGAGCCTGACACAGTTAGTGTCAAGTCACTGATGTCACCCTATAGTTGTTACCATAGTAACAGCTTATCTATACTGTGATTACACACGTAATATTGTGATATTTAAATTTAATTCTTGGTGAATATCAAGTCTTCAGTCCAACAGTCGTGGTTTATTTGGAGATATCGTGGAGGAAAGTGAGAGCATCCAGCACTGATTTCTTCAGCTCTGATTTCTGCAGCACCGTCCTCCGTCGTATGATCGTTCTTCCAGGAATGCTTAAGTTATGGTGGCTGCTGCTGTAAAGGCCTGAATGTCCCAAGCACATACATCAAGTTTCGGGTAACGTCAGGTGATGACATACTATGTGTGACATCCTCCATCATTAGCAAGCTAACGTTAACGTACATGAATTTTACCACCTGAAACATGTTGTGTTCATGTGTTGTCACATGAAAAACAAACCCCAGCACAGACTGAACCTGACCTGCAGATATTTATCTGAAGGTCCTGTTGGGTCCTGCTGGGCTCGGGTCGGGTCTCCACTCTATTCTGAGATCGGCCAATGATTGTGCCTCTTTACACGGACTCATATCTGCTGCTCACACGTGATTGGTCAGTACTACTCCGACTACAAACTAGAACATGTCTGATACTAAAATCTTGTCTCGTTGCCGACAGAGTCTGCGTACACATGCAGAGATTATCTTTACTGTGCCAGCATCATGGGCTCTGAACAGGAAGTGAGGGTACATTCACATGATGATTTGGTGGTTATGAAACAGTGTAGTGTGATTGGTATATGGTAATATTGTTTTTTTTCTGTCATAAATCAGCAGCTGAAATTTCGTTGATGGAGACGAGGACAGTAAAGTGCTGTTGAAGCTGGAGGTTGGCAGGCTGGGACATGCACGTGCATGTGCATGCTGTGTCAGTTTCCTGTTTGGTTGTAAACTTGACCTGATTTTTTTGGTGTGAAGGAGCCAGATTAGATTTGGTTTAGAGGGTGCTGTCAGCCTCATGCTGCTGGAGTGTGGAGGCTTATTTCCATTTTCAGGACAGTGGATAGATTTATGGTGCCGCCGTTCACTTGGCAGCTTTAACTGCGTGGCGTCAAAGGAACTGAAAACCTCGTATCTCCGATGTGCCAGTTTATGTGGAATGTTTGCTCGTAGCTTCACCTTCATGTGGCAGTAGCTCCTGTTTCCATGGACTCTGAATGCAGCCTGTGTATTTTATATCTTTTCCTGTCTCTCACACAAGTTGTCTCTTTCAGGTCCTTCAGTCTTTGCTCTCATTAGTATATATTTTTATTAATGTGAGATGTGTTCAGTAGTTGAGCTGCTTTTCTGTTTCCTCCTCCCTGGATTTTGTCTTTAGCTCCACTCCTTCCTCTGGATGATGGATCCAACTCTCTGCTGTTGCTGAACTTCTTCAGACTCTTTTCAACTTCAGGGTTGTCATCAATTCTATTTCAGTTTGCTCATGTTATTGTGTAGCTGCATTAAATCTTAAAACTAATGACAGAATTCAGACAGAAGAGCATTTTTATGACAACCCAAAGTCCAGTGGTTGTTTGTGAAAGTTTATTTTTTATCGTCCTAAAAGAAATCTCAACTTTTTGTGGATTGAAAAAGAAACGATAACAACCCTGATTACATATTCTCCTCCCATGATTACCTCTTTGATTGACAGGTCGTCCTCCCACTCCACACAGCAAACAAAAGCACTTTCACCAAATGTGTAATTATTTCAGGGTCACTTCTTTTCTGCAGTGTGTGTGTGTGTGTGTGTGTGTGTGTGTGAGAACATGGGAATGTTTGTTTGGTGGTATGTCTCCGCTGCACATACTGTACCTCCTCATTGTGTGCTGGTGATTAAAAACATCCATAATTCATAGGCACCCAGTTTTGCAGCAGGGTGACTCAGACAGCATTAGTCATCTTCCCAGTGAAGGATTCAACCCACTTAGCATGAATAATCACAGTTCATTCAAGTCAATCTGTTTTGAATATGTCACACAGATTAAATTATACCAAGACGATGCTGTAACTTTGTAAAAGAGGCTGATGATGTAACTCGCTGCTGCCTTAATAAGCATTGGGATAAATCAGTTTTCTCTAATTAGCTGCGAGTCATTAGACTTAGTTGTGGTTGTTGTGTTTGAACATGCACATTCTTCAGTGTGTGCTGGATCAAAGATGTGAAACCTTATCTTAAAGTGCTGGACCCAGTCTGCGGCCCATAAACTAAATTGCGTGTTGCAGGAGAC